CAACAGTTCTTAGATATACAATAAACGGTTGTGCCGGCAGGTGGCAAGTTCCTTTCTTCTAGCTAAGCCTTGGGTTCTCTCTGAGCCAAACTAAAACCTCAAAGGGATGTGCCTCTGGGATGCAGATTGTGTGTGGTTCATGGTGCACCTCGCTGCTCGGAAATTTTTCTTGACGTTGGTGGGTGACCTGGAGTCAATATAACCCGTTCCACGATCAACTTATCCTAACATGGGAGTCCTTGGGTTAGGAGACAAGTGGTCTAACAGCTCTTAAATGCTGCACTACCAATTTTTGCACCTTTTTTTTTAACTTGCAAATTTCGCATTCGCGGTTAGCCTTTGCTTAAGATTTTACTTGCCCGAGGACCTGCGCTGGACCCAGTCCAGCTTAAATTGGACCTAGTTCATTTCGAAACCCCGTTTAGTTTTTAAATCAGACCCAATCTGACTCCAGCTGGTAAACACCAACAGTTCCTACTGTGGAGTCTGAGAACTCGTCGAGGATTGTACCAGCAGAACTCCACACATGAGGACTGCTGCCTGGGGGTTCCACGTGGATGGGAAACTGTGCACTGCCACTTACAGTTCCCAAGTAGACGTAGACGCAGATTCAAGGGAACTGTGGAACCTATGGCTTGGGGGGTCATTCCCAATGAGAGTTCATGGCGAGGCTGCAGGGGTGCACATGGGGATGGGGGTGTAGCTATGTCTCCACCGTCCCAGGAATTTCTCCTTCCGAGCCTTGTGAGAGAATTTACATCCTTCACACTTCGGATTCAGACCTCGAGTCTGGTCCAGAAAAGAAAAAGGTACTGAAAGGACACTGACCCCTGGTGGGGTGAGTGGCCAGCAAAGGGGACAGAGCAGAGGGAGGGTGAGTGCTGGGGCCTCCCGGAGAGGCTGAGAGTCCGTGAGGAAGCAGATCGAGGCCCCAGGAGGGGAGGGGGGCCCACCGGGCACTGTCCTGCTTGGGCTCCGGGGAACGGGCAGGGGTGGGTCCCCATCTGGGTGAACGGGCCCTGGGGGACGAGCAGGGGAGGCCCTGAGTCACAGCACCTGGCTGTCACCTGGCCCAGCTCCAGGTCCCCCCACCGTCTCTTCTCCCCCAGTCTAGGGACCGGAAGATGGTGGGCGATGTCACTGGGGCTCAGAGCTATGCCTCCACCGCCAAGTGCCTGAACATCTGCGCCCTGGTCCTGGGCATCTTTCTGATCATTGGATTGGTGTTTGCTTACCTGAAAGCCTACCAGATGGCTTTACAGATGGCGAATAATAGAGGCTACTAGCCGCTGGACATGGAGGCAACCCAGTTCCTCCACTGTCCACGGCTGGCCCTGCACCTGGGGCTGTGGGCCCGCCTCCTCCCCCCACCCCTTTATACAGCAGTTTATGGAGACAGAGCTGTTGACAGCTGAATTCAATAAAGTGCACTCATCTGTGAAGGTGCTGTGATGTCCCCTACGAGGAGACACTGCTGTGAGTCCCCGGTGGCCTCGGGGAAGCACAGAGCACTCAGCTGTGGGCTGACAGCAGAAGCCCAGAGCAGAGCTGGTGACCCCGCCCCGGTCGACAGAAACCCCCAGAGGAAAGACCACCCCCTCCCACGCAAACGTGGCTGCCCTGCTGGGTGGAAGTGTCTCGCAGACACTGGAGACCCTGGGGCATTGGGTGTGAGCCTGGGCTGTACACGGGGAGGTGGGGACCTGCCTCAGCCCAGTACAGGGAGGGACACCCCAGGCAGGTATTCCTGTCTCTGAGCCCCAGAGGGAGTGGGCGCAGGGGACGCACCCTACCGGCTGACCCACCGTGCCCTGCACAGTATCCCAGGTGTGCTATGCATCACCCAGGAGAGGCTGGAGGAGTCCAGGCAGCCACAGGCTGGTGCTGGGGCAGTGACCCCTTCTCCACAGGCCCCTTGGGGATCCAGGCTCTTCTGGGCTCCCTCACTGGGCTGAGGTCCAGTCCTGTCCGGCTCTCATTGAATTCAGCATGCTTTACAGTGGATTTCCTTCCGTCCTGGCACCTAGGACTATAGACACCAAACCCTCACAAAGCCCTACCTCGGGGGCTATGTAGGTTGGGGTCCTCCCTGGAGGATGGTGACTCAGACGAGGTTGCCTGCTCTCTCTTGGGTCCCACATGTGAGCTCGGGAGGCTTGGCCCCAGGGAAGCTGGGTCCCGGAGGAGGGGAGGCTGGCGGACCTGCCTCTCTGAGTCCAGGAAGGACACTCTCCCAGGCAGGGGGTGGGGGGACAGACGTGTGACCCCAACCCCCCAAACCCCCGACCCCGGCTGGCTGACTAGGCACGTCCCACATCCCCCTGTCGGGTGGACAGCAGTGGCAAAGGGTGGGTGGCACCGAGTGTAACCCCATCAATCTTCACGGATTTGGGGTGAGGATCCTGCTAGGTGGCAGACCAGCTGGTGCAGGCAGCAAAGATCCCGTGGTCTGGAGCTTCCGAAAATTCACAGGAGGCCCGAGGCATCAAGCAGGGGAACTGAGGGTCCTTCGAAGGTCTTGGGCATGGACTACTGGGTCATGAGCCGCTTAGTTCTCAGATCCACCCCAGCTCTGGCTCTGATGTGGGCGGCCACAGTGTCCTGGCTCACCTGTGGGCGGGCGGTGCTGGTTGGGGTGGGTGATCTGGGCTGGGCGGAAGAGAGCGTTCAGGGAGCTGGGAGGACGCAGAGCTGGGAGGACGCAGAGCTGCAGGGAGGACGCAGAGCTGGGAGGACGCAGAGCTGGGAGGACGCAGAGCTGAGAGGACACAGAGCTGGGAGGACGCAGAGCTGCAGGGAGGACGCAGAGCTGGGAGGACGCAGAGCTGCAGGGAGGACGCAGAGCTGGGAGGACGAAGAGCTGGGAGGACGCAGAGCTGCAGGGAGGACGCAGAGCTGGGAGGACGCAGAGCTGGGAGGACGCAGAGCTGAGAGGACGCAGAGCTGGGAGGACGCAGAGCTGCAGGAAGGACGCAGAGCTGGGAGGACGCAGAGCTGGGAGGACGCAGAGCTGCAGGGAGGACACAGAGCTGGGAGGACGCAGAGCTGGGAGGACGCAGAGCTGCAGGGAGGATGCAGAGCTGGGAGGATGCAGAGCTGGGAGGACGCAGAGCTGGGAGGACGCAGAGCTGGGAGGACGCAGAGCTGCAGGGAGGACGCAGAGCTGGGAGGACGCAGAGCTGGGAGGACCGTCAGAGCCCTGGGCAGGGCCTCACAGGTGGGCCGGCAGCAAGGGTGAGAGGCGTTTCTGGTCCTTTCTCCCAGCAGCCCTCAGGAGAGAAGTCTGTTTTCGCTTTGCCTGGAGTCTGGCCTGGAGGAAGTCTGCCCTTAGGATTCCTGAAGATGCCCCGCCCAGGTTTGGTCCCGAGGGAGTGAGGGCAGAGCAGGACAGACGCGCTTGGGGTGGGGGTGGGGGGGCACGAACATCTCTCCTGGCCTCGCCCCTGGCTTCCTTCCTGAGCGCTGCTGGTCCGGAAAGCTTCCACCTGCCCAGCCCACCCAGCAGGGGTCTGAGTCGCTGGGCAGCGCCCCCTGCCTGACTCCAGGGCTTTACTGGCTGCTGGCCCCTCCTCACCTTGGAGTCAGTCCTTCCCAATCCAGAGGGGCAGGTCTGCCAGCCTCCCCTCCTCCAGGACTTCCTTGGGGCTGTCCCCTCCCTGCTCACGTGTGACAGACCCCCAGGGAGAGGGGCTCCCTCATGGCCACCCTGAGACCCCAGCCCCTCGGCCATCTCCTGGAGTCAGGGGACTGCAGCTGGGGACAGATAAAGGGGCGTGGGTGCGGGTCGGGAGGGGACCCACAGCTGGGGTCAGGTGTCAGGGGACGAAGGGGAGGCTAAGGCCACCCCACCTCACACCGCAACTGCCCAGCTGGTTGTGGGCAGGGTCTGCCCTGGGGCAACCCAAGTGCCCACACATCTGGAGGCCTGACAGAACCAGGGATGGGGGCTGATTTCCAGGGCAGGGCAGGGGTTTCTCCTCCTCCTGGGGGCTGTCTCTGCAGCGGTGGCCCGTGCACTCTTGTAGCTTCCTGAGCTGACGGGATCCTTGGGGCCATGGACCAGGAACAGCAAAGTGGAGACACATGTCAAAGGGTCTGCAAGGGAGCAGGGGAGCCACTGCGGACCTGGAATTTGCACACGTCCTGGCCGTCCTGGGACCACCTGGAACTTGTTGTCTTTACTCCCTGGAAACCTCAGTTTAGCAGCCAATCAGCTGTCGACATGTGACCCAATGCCTGCTAGCACCGATCTCGCTTTGTAAAACAAGCCCTGTAACTTCTCTGGAATGTCTTTGTTGTGTTTAGAACCCCCCATCGTTTGTACTTTCCTCGCAGCACGTTTGACTTACTACTTGAATCTGCACTTCTCCGATTGCAAATCCTAAAACTCCAAATAAACTTTTCTTATTTGCGGGTCTCGTTTGTTTTGTTTTGTATTTTGTCAACAGGGCCAAGGTTGTTCTGGACCCAGCATGACCCTTCCCCAGAGGAAGCCACCACCCTAAACCCCTGTCCAATTGCTGCTGCCCCAGCTTGAGGCCAAAAACAGGAAAAGCCTTAGGACTTGGCAGGTCCCACTCAGAGCAGCAGAGCAGATGGGACGGCAGGGGAGGGGCTCAGTCTCAGGGGCAGGCTGGGACTCTCAACAGGGCCCCCTCCCCAGGTCAAAACACAGCACCCGGGCTTCCCTGGTGGCGCAGTGGTTGAGAATCTGCCTGCCGATGCAGGGGACACGGGTTCGTGACCCGGTCCGGGAAGATCCCACGTGCCGCGGAGCGGCTGGGCCCGTGAGCCATGGCCGCTGAGCCTGCGCATCCGGAGCCTGTGCTCCGCAACAGGAGAGGCCACAGCAGTGAGAGGCCCAAGTACCGCAAAAAAACAAAACAAAACAAAAACACACAGCACCCTCACATACAAATGCTTTATTTTATTCAACTGTGGACAGATGCGTGTATAAACTGCAGTGAAAAGGGGTGACTGCCTCAGGCTGCCGGCAGCTACTAGTAGCCTCCATTATCCTTTACGAGCTGGGAAGCTGCTTGAAAAACCATCAGGGAGCCAGTGGCTAAAATAACGATGAAGACGGTGATCAGAAGGATGCCCAGGACCAGGGCGCAGATGTTCAGGCACTTGGCGGTGGAGGCATAGCTCTGAGCCCCAGTGACATCGCCCACCATCTTCCGGTCCCTAGACTGGGGGAGAAGAGACGGTGGGGGGACCTGGAGCTGGGCCAGGTGACAGCCAGGTGCTGTGACTCAGGGCCTCCCCTGCTCGTCCCCCAGGGCCCGTTCACCCAGATGGGGACCCACCCCTGCCCGTTCCCCGGAGCCCAAGCAGGACAGTGCCCGGTGGGCCCCCCTCCCCTCCTGGGGCCTCGATCTGCTTCCTCACGGACTCTCAGCCTCTCCGGGAGGCCCCAGCACTCACCCTCCCTCTGCTCTGTCCCCTTTGCTGGCCACTCACCCCACCAGGGGTCAGTGTCCTTTCAGTACCTTTTTCTTTTCTGGACCAGACTCGAGGTCTGAATCCGAAGTGTGAAGGATGTAAATTCTCTCACAAGGCTCGGAAGGAGAAATTCCTGGGACGGTGGAGACATAGCTACACCCCCATCCCCATGTGCACCCCTGCAGCCTCGCCATGAACTCTCATTGGGAATGACCCCCCAAGCCACACACACACACACACACACACACAGAACAATACACACAAGGGCTCTCCACACCCCACGTGCCAGCCAGGCAGGGGGGGCCTCTCCACGCTCACACACACTTCCTTGGAGAACCCCCCAGGCGCCCACCCACCTTCACGGAGTAGGCGAATGCCACGAAGCCCAGGCAGCACCAGTTCATGAAGATCGTGTTGAACAGGGACCAGACGATGTGGTCGGGCACCGAGGTCTCGCTGCGGATGTTGATCACCGTGGTCGTCACGGGGGCCTGGCTCGGAGCCCCCAGCACGCTCACCTCGTGCTCCTCCTTGAGCATCTCATAGCTCGGGGGGATCCCACCGTGGGCACCATTGAAGAGGGGTTGGGACGTGTGGTTCATGGTGGACGTGAGGCAGAGGTGGTCCAGGTGCCTGGACACTCTCAGGGGTCCTCCCTTTCCCCAGTAGTTTCGATTTCTCTGAAGTTTCCTTTTCCTGGCAGTTGGGGAATTGGGGATGGGCTGGTCCTAGGAGGCGGGATGAGAACCACCGAGTGTCAGGTTACACCAGCGTGAGTGGGAGGAAGGCTGAGGGCTTGGAGGGAGCTTCCCGTCCCAGAGGCTGGAAGGGGCAGAAGACTTTCCTTCTACCTTCCCAGGTTCTTGGTTGAGACCTCACTGTAATAAAAAGACAGGTTAACAGGAGAAAAACAAAAGTTTAATAACACGTATACCTCCTGTATACATGGGAGAGACCCAGGAAAACTGAGTGACTCACCGAAATGCTGAAGCCACCACCTTAAATGCCACCTCCAGCTAAAGACAGAAGGTGTTGCCGGGTGGGGAAGAGAGGCCCCTCTGGGAGGTGACAAGGAAAAGCACACAAACAAGGGTAAGGTTTCCTGCGGGGCTTCTCCATCCACAAGAGTCTCTAGAAATGTGGCCGTCCCCCTCATCCCCATACAAGAGGAGACACACTTGCGTGGAGGTTTCCCTTGTACATGTAAATGTCTTTCAGAAGGCTGACTTCTACTCAGTTTCAGAGCTTCTCCCAGGTGTCCTGTTGCTTAAAAATAAGCAGCTTAAAGTAATCAATACGGCAAAGAGGCACGTTTGGGGTAATGAATTCTGCTTCCCTTCACACCGAGCCAGGCCCTGTCTCAGCCACCCCACCTCCCTACTTAGGGGTGTGGTCGGGCCCCAGGACCCTTCCCCAGCCCGGGGGTCTCAGGCCCAAGCCTGCTGCAGCCCCGCTGTCCCCACACAGGGCCCCTCCCAGACCCTCACTCAGCCTCCACACCCCAGCCCCCAGAGCGAGCCCTGGCCCACAGCCCACCCCTCACTGCACCGCCCTCCCCTAGGAAATGCACTGGCCTTCCTGGCCCTGAGTCCCTGCTCCAGGCTGGTTTGGGTCCTTCCTGGTTGCAGGTCAGCAGCCAGCAGCCTGGGTGGCCTGCCCCAAAGGAGCCTCCCATGGTCTCCCAAGGGCTCCTGGGTGTGGGGACACTGGGCCCCGCGTGACCTGAGGAGGCAGCTGTGGTGGGAGACCCCAGGGTCCAGAGCATCTGGTGGCAGCTGGGAGCCCAGGGCCTGCATATTTGCGCAGCCCCGTCGTTCCTTCCTCCCTCCCGCCCCCCCCCCCCCC